CTCAGAGTCCCTCTCCTAGGGAAGAGGTCAGGATCCAGAATTACCAGAGCTGTGTGACTTTGAGGAGCAGTCCAGTATAAATAATCCTGCATGTGGTTGTGAGGAATGTGGTCTTTTCATGTGGAGCCTTTTACCTCAGTCACTGGTTTGAATTCAGTTCAGCTTGGTAGTTACCAAAAGACATTACTATCTCACTGCCAAGGAATTATGTGGACCTGTGAGTTGGAGGTGCTAGTCCAATATTCTGTGGGCACAAACCAGAACCCTCGACAGTCTGAGCACAGAGGTTAAAAAGCGAATGGACTACCAGGGCTGAACTTCCTTCTCACCACTAGCTACGGCTGCTGCAGGGTCAGAGTTTAAGCCAATTGAAGGGGCATGAAGGGCAAGGCAGGAGAGTGAATGGAAACCTCACATTAGCAATCATCCCAAAGTTCTTGTTCTGTAGCTAGGATAAATAGAGGCTTTCAGTATCCCATATTGTCAAACCAATGCCTTCCACAGGCATTAGATTCACAAACTTTACTATAGTATTAATTGATAATATAAATTGTACAAATATAAATACAGTGAAACAACACTTTTCACCTAATTGTTAATTCAATAATACAGCAGAATGAAAACTGTTCCATAATCTGATTTATACTGTTGTCAACACTAGGTCATTTCATGGCATTATGCTAGTTATCACAAGAGGGTTACAAACACATTTATATGGATTTGAGCCAGACTAGTTTTGGTTAGTTTGTGCTGAGCAAAATCAATGCAGCTTTCCTTTAAGGAGTTTCTAAAATAGAATAAAGAGGAATAAAGAAAATGAAAATGATAATTCAGGTGAGAGGCCTGATGCAAAGTCTGCAAATTTGCTGCCTATATCAGTACTTAAATACACAGTCATAGTTATTGTGTTAAACTACACACTTAGGCTACTTTTACTCAAGTAAACCGAAGTTAGAGACTAATCCCTATTCCAAATAGAAAAATCTCTCTTCTACAACCTGAAAAATGCCAAATTAAGTACAATATTCCAGACAACCCACATCCCAGGGATGAAGTCTTGCTGAAGGCAATCAGTGTTGAAAATTGTGTTGACAGCTCCATCGAGCATGCTCGGGAAGTCCCTCTCCAACCACTTTCATGAAGGAAACTTCTTCCTCAGATGACTAAATGTCTATGAACTGTGCAGAAAAGACATAAAAGGGGCCATAAACCCAATCTCATCATTGTCCCTTTGAATGACCGCTCCTTTCCTGTATGCAGTGTTGTTGTAGCTTTCCTGTTAGCCAGAAAGAGCAAGAAAAGCTGCTATGCAACATGAGGATTAACTTTTCCTATACATAGAATGGCTTTCAGGAGCCTTGCAGCATGAGGCGAGTGACAGGATTTCCCTCTTTTTCTAAATTGTGGTTAAATAAATTAAAAACATGTTGAATGATTGACAGGCCATGCACCCTTCCTCCTCTGTGTACATGTTGGTGTTACTTCCTCCTAGAGGGGGATTCATATCTGCTGGTTTTGCAGTCCCAGGTCAGGGGACTGAAGAAACAAGGACATGGGAGTAATTCATCACAGGAAGCTCTGAATCTCAATGTGGCTGTGGAGCTTGTCATTTGTGTCATTTGAGTCACTATGGCAGGCTAAGGTTTCTGCTGGATACGTCTGCTTGCCACCTGAGGCATGTTGCATATACACCAAGAAGAAGCTGCAGAACCAGGCTCGATAGCCTTTTGGGTTTTGTGTGGTTGAGGAGGCTAAAGATCTTTTTAGATGGACTGGATGAATTAAGAAGGAGAAGAGTCAAAATTGGATTCTGAGGAACAATTCAAAGTCTTTGCTTTCAATGGTGTAATATTAAAGGATCTAATGTAAACGTTTTTTGCCATTAGAGTCCCTTTGATTTTGTTTTCACATAATGTAGAAATTTGAAAATCTAGAAAGGTAACAATGGATGTGTATGACAGTTCATTCTGATACTACAATTCCTTTGAAAATAAAGTAACTACATAGCAAATACAATTCCCTTGAATTATTACAGTCTATTGAGTAAACACATATTATGGATACCTTTTACCTTCATGTGCTTTAACATAAACCATAATGGCTCACTTGAACGTCTTGTTCAGGACACATTAGTGTGTGATTTGAGCTATTTAGTGAGTTGATTATTCGCAACAATGGACTGCTTTATAAACTATTGCCGTGTCAAGTGGTACACAGCACTCTTCAGAACAAGGATTCTTGGCACACTATACACTAATGTGTTTATAGAGCAAACTTAGACTCTTCAGTTCATGGCTCATTAACCTCATGAACTTTGGTGCCATTGTGATTTGTCAATCATGCATAATAAGCCAGTGTATCAAAATTTCTTACGAAAATTTGTTTAAAAATATTGCCTGCTTGATTATTTTTTTTTTAAACAAACACTTTAAAAAACAGCACTACACAAAAAAGCACCGGACACCACTACATGTACAGAGAAGAGAAAAATATTCATTTAAGTACTGTAATTACAAAGATATTGCCCAAATTTGGAGAAAATCCATTTATGGGCTGGTGTTATACAGGCCAATATTGTGTTTAGGACAAATGTTTATAGTCAAGTTACACATCTTTACACATACTAACTTATAATGGGAATGTCGAGAAAGCCTTCACTCAAGTAACACTGGCATGCATGATTATAGTACGAAAATGTTTGAGTGCTATGCAAAATATTTACATTAAGTTATGCTGGTGTACAGAGCATATTTTTTTGCAAACTAATGAAGGAAATACATTATATTGTACCGTGCTCAATGCACTTCTAGGAGAAGGAAAATCTGTGTAGCAAACTAACAAGCAAATTTTAAGCTTAAATCCTAGTCTTAAAATTAAGTTTGAGAGTCAATGTGGTAACATACTACAATTGCTCCACTCTCTACTGATAGATGAGACTTGCATGTTGATTGGTTTCAACGTAGCATTTAGAAAACACTTACGATCAGGAGCCACGTTTGAAAAGTTGTAATTAATTGTGATCAATTTGAGTGTGTCTCAGTATGCAAAGGAAACACCACAAACTTCCCTCTGTATTAAAAGCGGAGTTTCAGGTTATTCATGTATGGTTAATTTGTTACACATACTAATACCACTTGTCAAATTCTGTTTGTACACAGCAAGAAGACGACAAACACATTTTGGTCTAGCTTTTTATACGAAGAATTTAATTATCTATACATGTGACTAATTGTAAAGGCTGTATTACAGTTGTTAAAGCTGCAGGTTTTATATATTTATATATTTTACATTCATATCAATGAAAATACTGAAGTGCAATTGAATAAGGAGCTTCACTTGTTCTTTGCACCACATGAAAAGGGGGAAGGGGTAAGGAAGGAACTCTACGACACCGCCAGCATGAAATTTAGAAATACATGAACAGAACATGACTAAATGTTAAAGTCATTAGTAGAACGGCTATATTGTGCTTGAGGCATGGTTCTTTTCCCCCCGGGTGCAGAGAGCACCAGGCATTTCATTAAGAGCTTATAACTAATGTTTGAAAGACAAACATGGCTTAGGCTACAGCACATCTACTACATAAACTTGACTGTAAGCTCCATTTAATATTAATTTGTATAAATTCCACAGTCTAGTTAAAAAATGTAAACATTGGAAATTAATTGCAGGGAGATATTTCTATACATTCTTTCTTGTCAAGATAATTACTTGTTCAAAAGATGATGTTCCATAGTCATGTAAAAGTAACAATGGTAATAAAACTTCATGTAACAGGTTGAAAAAAAAAAAAAAAAAGTCATGTTAATTCTCAAAGACCACATGAATGTAGTATTCTACTGATTTCAGATATGAAAATGCAAAAACCACACAAATCTGAGACAAACAAAACAAAGATGCTTTCTTACTGTAGCTACAAATAACCGTGCAAAATAAAATTAATGCAATAAGGATTACAGCATTATGCAAGGATAGTATCTCTTGCATTGGAAGGAAATTAATTTCTTCTGTCCACAATGTATTACACACTCAACAAGGAACACCTGATACATATAGTATAAGAACTGGAACAAAATACCAATTGGGCATGTGTTAAAGTTCCTTAAACTGATTTAACTCCTTCTGTTCTTTTGTAATAGAAAAAAACCAGACATTGATAACACTGGACAAGTGAAAAATAAAAAAAAGATACATAAAGTCTCAGATTTATGGACATTTAGAACAATTTTAATAGCACATGCAGCATTCCTTGATAGTGGGTCTTTTTGCAAGAACAAAATTGCATTGCAGAAATTTTATTTATTCTTTTCCTTTAAAAGGCTAAAATACACATTTAAAATTATTTGTAAAACTACTGAAAGCACCTGTGCAAAGGTGGAAAAAATTAGTTTGGTAACTATGAAAGCCACAAAAGGACCCACTATCCTGTGTATTTTTTTTTTTTTTTAATTTTGCTTCTATATCTGTAGATAATTAACTCAAACATTGCGATTACATGCAACTAATGTAAAATGAGGTAAACTGCTCTGCAGTGTGTTCTTCTACTCAGAAGGCAGTAGATGATCATGCTGGAAGTCACATGATCAAGGCTGCATCTCCCATCATCCCTCTGGGCAGTGATATGGGATAGTGGGTCTCTTTGAGGACTTTCAAGCCTGAGTGGGGGATGGACAACATATGATTCCTAGAAAAAGGAGGAAAACAACACATAAGCAAAACAAAACAATGAGCAAAATTCAAGCTAGGAAAATGAGTCAGGCATGTAAACAGCATGATGCAAAAATGATAAAAGGGAACATGCTACAAAGGGGATGGAACTAAAAAAACCAAAACACAAAATAAGGTTTCTTTTACAGAAGGTCTTCAAAGAGACTTTGGCAAATGCAGCAGTGGTCAAGCTTTGAGTTCTGCAAACCATAGCAGAATCATAGCAATGCTGCATGTTACATTTTAAAATACTACATAAGCAGTAACAGTAAGATAGTAAACAGGACACTTACATTGCTGGCTTGGGTCCATATCTGTCGTCAGTTTCACATAGTTGGATGGGAAGAGACCCACTTGTCCATTCACTTCTCCTTTCCACCAATCTGGGTCGTCCTTGTTCAGGACGTTTATGATCTGGCCTTTGTTGAATGCCAGTTCATCGTCATTCTGTGCAGTGTAGTCATACATGCCAATTACTTGGCACACTGTAAGATAAATGAACAAGTCTATACAATCGATAACATTCCAGTAAAATAGCATATGTAAGTGTATTCAAGTTACAATGATGATTACTGTCTGCAATATTTCCCTGGCTAGAAAATACTCAGCAAATAATAAGATGGGTTTATATATCAAGATTGACTTTCTGAAAGTCAAAACTTGTTCTAGGATTAGATATTAGTTTTCTACAGCCATTTAACTTTAGTTTTATAGTTATTCTACCCACAAAAGCTCTACAGTGATTTTATGTGGAGACAAAACAATCCCACATGTTCTGGATCTTCTCTAGCATTACAAAGCCTACTCTCTCAGCTAGGACTTGTCAACTGACAAATAACTGTGGCATACAGAACATTTTCGAACCCCCACTTTTACAAATTTAGGGTATGGACTCTTTCTTCAAAGTATTATAACTTCTCTTTGAAGGGGGAGAAAGCCTAAACACAGCTCCAGTCAGGAGAAAGCAAGCAATGATATCCCTCTGGTGCCAATGCTGCCAGAGATGTTTAGAATATCAGAAATTAGAGACTGTTGGGAGGGGAGGGGGGAAGAGGGAAAAAAAATCAGAAAACTTGTTAGGTCATTTAACCCATCCTCTTGCCAGGGCAAAATTGTTGCCTGCAATATATTTTTCTATTTTCTTATCATGGAACTCAGTATATCTGAGTGGCTCCCAGGACACAATGGGCTCTGCACAATCACAATAGAGAGGAAAATTAGAAAACTGGCCCAATTCTCCCAAACAAGGTAGGGCTGTATTCTCTTTTAAACAAAACAACAACAACAACAACAACTTATTTCCTTATCCTTTCCGCTGTGTTCTATGTTCCAAGCAATGGGGCTTCTGGTATTTTCCCCTCAAAAGATCGTTTGACAGTCTAATAGATCTCAGTGTCAGGAAACAGCTCCATGATATTCAGCATTAATTTCCTCCCAGTACTCCATGCTAGCACTTGTATAACTCCAAATAATTCCTGTTTACTTTTCCAGAGACCTGGGGCCTGTTATGACTCCTTTTAATTATTGCTTTGCCTATCATGCTAAGGAGGAGTCAGATAACTAATCCAAGCTAATTTCCACATTTGACTATATATGGTGTACACATTTCAGTGCAGAGTTTCTCTAACATTTATACATTTTTAGCATTCTGTTTCTTAAGCTGAAAAAAGGTAATTTGTCATCCATTGTTATTTGTCCCAACTAATACTGTATCAAGCCAAATAAAGTCTGAATTTGGTCCTATCCCACTACACTTAAGTTTGCTAGTGAAGTTTTGAATATATAGTAGAACCTCAGAGTTATGAATACCAGAGTTATGAACTGTCCAGTCAACCACACCCCTCATTTGGAACCAGAAGTACACAATCAGGCAGCAGCAGAGAAAAAAAAGAAGCAAATACAGTACAGTACCGTGTTAAATGTAAACTACTAAACTCTAAGGTTCTACTGTACCCCATCTCAGATGGAAAACCCTAGGAATGATCCCAATTTGCTTGCACTCCTAGCAGTGACAGCAGCTCCAAAACCCACAGATAACTATATAAGTAAATTAAAGCGTATGTACCCCTCATTTCTATTAAAAAAACAAAATAATGATATGCAGTTGGCCCAGTGGTTATCTGTAATACTTCATCTGATACATGGGTTAGAATCAGAGTGCAGGTTCCTGTCTCGCTCTCTCCAGCTCAGCACAAGCTACAAATACTATGGAAGCAGCACACTTATTCTTTAAAGTAAGCAGGAATGCTTGGAAACAGGTTTCCTAGTATTTCTATAAAATAACCTCTCTACCTGTGGCAATACAGAAGTGGCACTCACAGGCTATGAAGGAAGTCCTGCTCATTTCTCAAGCTAGGAGGACAGTGCTCACATCACAGGTTTAGAAGGGGACAGATATAAAGCAGTGAGAAATTAAGAAAGTCTCAAGGTCCCAATAGGCAAAATGCGTCCATGCAACAGAATTTAAAAAGCTGTCCAAAGTCATACAATTCATGTTATGTTATGATAGTCCTTCCCCTTCAAATTCCAGACATCATGTGCTATTGCACACTTTAAAGACCCCTCTCTATGTACTACCCTGGCCACTACTCTCCTCTTATGAAGATTCTTCTCAGTTCTACTCCCCACAGCCATAAGTTGCTCCTTTGCATAAAAAACCCTCTATATTCTGTTCCACCAGCCCATACCTCCAGACTTCCTCCATAAAGACACCCTATTAGACTGACCACATGCCAAATGAGGACATTATCATTACAAAAGGAAATACAAGATCGTCCCTTTTCTTCCACACACTCTCCAAAGTCAATATAAAGTTGTATTTGATACGATCATGTTTGATGTGTCCAATATTCATTATACGAATAATGTAAGACATTACTAGAATGTTTATGTATTTGTATAAAACATTGTTTAGCGCTTGTGAAAGGTTCTAGCTTGTCAGCCCTATAATACAGAAAATACAAGTGCCTCTGCAATGCCTTGCTAGTGTGCCCCAAGCCTGAACTGGTGGGAGCTACCTCACCAGTGGTGAAAAGATAGATCAGTCTTCATGCCAGTTGACTTTTTTGCTTCCCTGCTAAGTCTACCAATAAGAGGGCCATTTAGTGCTACTTGGGATGCAGACTTTTCTGATGTGGCCACCTGCAGGGCCGGCTCCAGGCACCAGCTTGCCAAGCAGGTGCTTGGGGCGGCCACTCTGGAGAGGGGCGGCACTTCCAGCCATTCG